AAAGTCTTGAGTGACAGGTATGAAAAACTGAAGTAATTTACATAGATGGATCTTTTAGTAAGTTTGCCAGAGAATACATCTTCATTCATCTTGGGCTTGCTTTCTACCAGCTCAGTGCATAGCAACTTTTTCTCCCTTCTCTGTCAAAACCAGTAAGTTTCTCTTGTATTTGTGCTGCAATGGAAAAAATGGTCTTTGAGTCTTTGTAGAAGTCTTTTTTTCCAAACAAGAAAATCGCTTTTGTCAGATAAGCTTTCTTGTATCTTATTCCAGTTGTACTACTCATCTTGAAACAAAGCAAAAAATGCTCTCTCCTATGTAAGAAGAGTTTTATTATAGTATTAGAATAGAGCAAGGTCGATTTACAGCTCAGAGGTTGCTTATTACTTGGCAACAGACCCAGAGAACAGTCTCACCTCAGGCTGTATCACAATGGATTGCAGACTTCGAGTGGAATGGAAGTTAGACTTACTCTCCTCTTGTTGCTATTAGAGCTCAAGTTGCATATATCCTGGGGTTCCAATGTTAGGCATTCGTAAGGGCTGTATGGCCTTATGTATGTTTACTTTAAATAGATATTCTACTAGGAAAGCCAGTTGGTTAATTATTGTTTAATATAAGTCCTATTTCTTGCTGCTAATCCAAGATGAAACTCTTGTGGAAAATACTCCATTAACTCACAAGGCATAAACACACAGATAAACTTGCCATGTGTTAGCTGGGCTGTGGCAGCTGTGCCTGCTTTCCTTGTGTGGCAAATAGGAAGTTATGTGAGATCTGCAATGAGTGTCACCTAAAGTTGTTTCACTTCATGTATGATATAAGCTGAGAATATATGTGTCAGAGCTGTGACCACCTGACTGTTGCAGAGATCCATCACAGTTAATTTTGTTCTATCATTTGTATCTTTGAGACTTCTTCCTTTTCCCTGCAACCGTCTCCTATGGGGACATCCAAATGATTCTGCCTCTTACTCTATTGGACTGAGGAACATGGGGAATTTGGAGTTTTTGTCAAAGTACTGTTTGATTTATGGGGAAAAAGGCAATTTGTTTTTAAAGAAATACTCAAACTGTACTCATTTTAACTCATTGCAGGGACTTAAGAGGAAGAGACTAAGGAAAAAAGTCTCGTCAAAGGGAATGACATGCGGATGTACCTTAAAACAAGACATTTTGGGGAAATACTGTGTAGAGCCTGCTGTAGTGTTTGAATTTCCGTTACCATTTCAGTATTTATAAAATACATTCTCAATATAATTTTAGAGCTTTTTTTTCCTAAGTAGCATGTATTTACTTCATCCACTTTGTTGTTTTAATTCTGTAGTGATTGAGGCATCTGATGTTTACAGTGGCCTATACCTTGCAATTGATTCCACTCAAACGGAGCTGTAATTAAATGCTGTCCATACATTGTTGCAGTCCAACTTGATCTATTATTTAACTAGCACAAAATGTGGCAATCTTCAGTAAAACAGTAGGTTGCCTGCCTGTTTTCATAGATCCCACACACCTGATATGTGTAACGGAGGCTTTTTTTTTTTTTGCTTCTAGGGAGAGATTGGTCTAACATATAATATTAACCTTTGTCTTCAAGGAAAATAATTAGAAAATTAGATTTCTTATTTTTGACACTCAAATGTGCATTGCTGTGGGTGCATATGCGTTTGAGGTGAAACAGTGTATTCAGAAGGTCATAACAAATTTTTTAATGCATGAACGTAAAGTAAGGACAGTCTCTTTTGTGCATCTCTGTGCCTTAACTCTCAATGGAATGCCTCTGCGACTTTAAAAATCAAAGATCTGGTCAGTAAAAGCTTTGTCCTGTTTCTTTTAGTTCAGCTTTTTATAGATTTCAGTTAAAGGTTCATGCTTTTGCCAAAAAAAAAACCAAACCCAAAAAACTTGCCTTCAAAAACACAGTTGTAAGAGCTTGAAGTGTTGTCCTTACTTCAATGGATAATGCCAGCCTGTCGTGGTTTGCTGAACCCAGCACACAGCCAAGGATGCTTTTATTGTTTTTACTGGTCAGATGAATCCTGTGTTGTGTGGGAGCTTTTAATCTGAAGATAACCCTTGATGGATCAGTAGAAATACATGAAAAAATGCATGTCTTCAATAAACGCGGTGGCAGCTATGGACTGGAGTATCTAGGACTCCCCTGGACACTTAAATCATGGGTTTCTTGCTTTGAACAGTCAATATTAGCACAGGCATTGGTGCTATTAACGCGGCTCAGTAGGGAATGGTTACTATTGTCAATCCTGCTGTAGTATGAGACATCGCAAAAGCCTTCGTCCACCTTCACGGGGTGAAGGTAGGGCTAATATATCCTGTGAGTCTGTAGGAACTGGTGAAGTTGTTGCTTCCATGATTGCAGTAGGACTAGCCTTTGTGTTTGTTAGCACGCAGTATTATCCTTAGAAGCCTCTCTTCACAGCAAGGTTTGACACACCATCTGTACCATTCAGAGGCCACTAATCTATATGGTTGTCATTATACATTTAGAGGCCATCAGTGCTGGTCAGAAAGAGTTGGTATTTAACTCGATGAGTTTGTTTCATAACATTCCTTCCTATTTCTTTGTTGATACAGGATGACAGAATGGGTGAGTATTGAGTGGACTGCTGGAGATCAAGTCCAACCTCCTTTGCTTAAAGTAGAGAAAACTGGAACAGGTTGCTCAGGGTCTTGTCCAACTGGGTTTTGAAAATCTCTCATGGATGAGACTCCTCAGCCACTCTGGACAACCTTTTGCAGTGTTAACAATGTTACAGCGACCCGATAACCCTTACATGAAATTACATTTAAACCATTTTTCAGTTTCAATTTCACATTGTGCCCACTGCCTGTTGTCCTGTCCCAGGGTGCCAGTGACAGGAGCCTGGTTCTATCTTCTTCACTCCCTCCCCTTAGGTAATCATCTACATTGATAAAATCCCTGTGAGCCTCCTCTTCTGCAGGCTTAGCAGTGCCAGCTCTCTCAGCCTTTCCTCATGTGAGAGGTGCTGCAGTTTGTCCATCAGCTTTGTGGCCCTTTCTCAAACTCTCTCCAGTATGTCCATGTGTCTGTTGTGCTGGGGAGCCCAGTGCTCCAAGTGTGTCTCACCAGGGCCAAGCACAGGGAAGCATCACCTCCCTTGACCTACTGGTGGTTTGGGGGCGGCCAGCCATCTGTGCAGCTGGGGTGCGTGTGGCTGGCTCGCCTTCCCCTTGCTCATGAAGACCCCTTGGGCTTTTTCTGCAATGCCACTTTCTGGCTGTGTGGCCCCTGTGTGTGGTGGTGCCTGGGGGCGTTTGTCCCATCACCCACCTTTGTTCCTGAGGATGTTAACCTGGCCTGGCCTGGTATGGACCCCCAGCATACACCAGTAAGGCTGGGTCTCCAGCTGGACTTTGTGCTTCTGGTCACAGCCCTTTGAGCCTGGCAGCTGAGGCAGTTTTGCTCTGAGAGGCCTGGGGTTGCCGGGGGCTGCTCTTGCTGATAATGGCAGAAGCAAATGTGGCAGTGAGTGCCTTGGCCTTTTCCTTATCCTTGGTCAGCAGGTCCTCTGTCTCACTTAGCCGTGGAGACCTAGTCATGCTGTTGCTGCTGATATTTTTGAAAAAGCCAGTGGAACCATTCTTGAGCATTCTTCCATCTGGCTTTGATCCTTCTTCCTCTTGGGATCCTGTGCTCTGCTGTGTCATGGTCCCTGCAGCTATCGCTGCCCCAACCTTCACAGTGCTGCCTGGTTTTTCCATGTTTCTAATTATGATGTTCAGCAAACTGCCTGTCCTTGTTGGCTCCTCAGTAACCTTCTTCAGGAAGTTGTAATTGGTGCACTCCAAAAACCGTTGGAGTTTGTTGTTGTGTTGTCCTTCTGCGAGATAACAGGGTGGTTCATGTTCTGTATGAACACCAGGTGCCTGTAAATGGGAGGCTTCTTCAGTTTTATGAACAAGGTCTCGTTATATTTCATCGTGATGAGTAGCAGACACTTGCCACAAGGTCACCCACGTTGCTCTGCCCTCTCATCCGTGACCCCTAAGTGCTCAGCTTATTCACCCACAAACCCATACTTGGTTATCAGTACTTCATGGCTAATTTTAAACTGGCAAAGCAAAACTGGATGGGTTATCTCACATGATTGAACATTTTACCAATTGAGTGTTGGTTTTTTTCTCAGATGAGTATTTAATTTTGTTATAGTTTGAAATCCATGGTCACAATTTGGATAAGCTGATGTGCATTGTTAAATAATTTACCTATACCTATACCTAGGTATCCCCCCCAGCATGCTCTTTTAATCACTTTCTATCTTAATGATACGTTGCTCTTTGTTTCAGAGTAAGACACTCCAAAGGATGGTTAAGTGTTTTCTCAAAAATTAAGAGAAAACAGAAATGAGTTTCAAAAGCAACTCTGTCTCTTGCGTTTAAGTTTTGGTGCTGGTGCTCTTGCTCTGTCTGAGATCTGTGCGGGATGTTGGACAGGGGAGCCTATCTCAGGCTCTATGCTGGGGCAGCAGGCTGGTTGTCTTGCAGTTGCCATGATGGGGGAGGACTGAAAGGTTTTGTGTCAGCCTTTATTTCAGTGACCTTTTCCAAGATAGGAATAGCAGTTGACTAGGAACAACTTAAACAGTCATTTCTTTTCAGTGAGTCCGTACAGTTTTCTCTCAACTTCTGTAAGCTGAAAAATAAATTGAAATGGAGAAGGTAATATTTTCTGTTTTCAAAATGCCATTTCTGCAATTCTTGACTTACTGAGCTTCCCACGCAATACATATTTGGAATTTATTGAACTGCTGTACATGAAGACTCCCATGCTTAATGCCTCCAGCAGCTTGTATAAGCGAGGTAGAATAAAAGTTCAAAGTAATGTCAGCATGTGAAATGATAACGAGTAAAAGCATGTTAAGATTCTTTAAATATTCACAGGGACTTAATTTTCATGATCTGTTTAATGCAGTGGCTACATAGTTTTCACAAACTGTTAACTTATTCTTTCAGGCTGAAGGTTTTGGAACGGATGTTGGAAGATGTTAGCTGTGGATACTGGTGTTGTGGAGGAGTGGTTATCGGAGTTCAAGGTATTAAACTCATATTTAGCCACTAGTGTTTAAATCGCTGCTGAAGCGGTATGCAGGAGTGCTTGATTACTGTAGACTATGAAGAAAAGTAGTTACCTTGGAGTTTGCTGAGATAATGTGTTGTATGTAAATGTCTGCTTGAAATAGTTTGTTTTTTCCTTGTCCTCTTTGGGATTACGTGCTTCCTGATGCAGAGCAGTGAAAATACATACCCCAGATGAATGGCCTTGTTGGTTTGAGTTCGGACTAGGCTTGACTGTAGCTCCTGGTCTGCTTAGATACACTGGAAATGTCTTCCTATCTGTGTAGTGGAGTATGATCTTCTGTGAAGACCTACAGATAAGTAGTGCCGCAAGAGCTGCGAGCAGTCAATTTAAACATACAGCTTCCAAAATGTTATTAAAAAGATCAGATTTTTAACCTCCTAAGTACTGGCAGAAAATCTGTTTAGTGTTAGAGAAGAGCTGTTCACGCCAACTGGAACTTGTGTTCTTTCAGAGTCATACTATATACTGTAGTCATGTTCACTAGCTGTGTGCAGTCAGTCTTGAGAAAACTTAAAAGTATGGATCTGCAAACTGCTAAGTTTCATAGTACTGCAATTTCACAGTGAAATTTCACTGGTATTGCAACTGTGAAACTTGGCTTTTACCTATTTCCTATCCACTGTCATTACATTCTGTATGAAACTGTCTGCAGAGTGATAAAATTCAGTGTCTCTTCTGGTAATTCTGTTGTCCTGAAAACATGGTGATTTCTGTAGTATGTATTCCTTTGTGAAACAAGTTTTAGTTTATAATAAACTCTAAATAGTAACTTGTAATGGAAAATTTGTTGATGAAATAGCTGTTATTTTTTAATGATAAGGATTGCTTTTTCTACTAGTTACAATATTTTTATTTTAGACACTGCCAGAAGCATCCATATCCAGCTATGCTACAAACTTGAAAGACAAGAGTACTTTGATTTCATCTCTTTACAAAGTGATTCAGGAGCCACAGAGTGAAGTGAGTATATCTTATCTCTCAGATAAAATGTCTGACATAACACCAGCAGAATAAAATCAGACCTTGTTTGCTAGTTAATTGTGTTCTAACTATGTGGACTACATGAAGAGTCTCCATCAAAATGTTTATTCTTAGTAATGACATCCTTCCATGGAAACAATAAGTCTTGTAACCTACTGATTGTAGTTAAATTTGTAGATCATAGTCACAGGCTTCAGGACTGGGGTATAGAATTGAGAAATATATTAAGCAATTGAAAAGGTGTAATTCAATATCACTTGAATGTGAATCTGTTGCTATCAGAAGCTTGTCTATTACAACCCAAGAGAACAATGTTAGATGGGTTTGCAGTTCTTCCACGCTACTGCTTAGGCTTTAGGGTTTTTGTTGTTGTTTTAAGTACATAACAATATAAATACACACACTGATAAAGTGGATGTATCCTTGCTGAAATGAAGGCCAAAAAAAAAAAAAAAGAGTTGGGGGAAGGGGGCAGGTTTGCTCTGTACCTGTGTCAGGAATATGGTTCCATACCCCATGACTGCACTTGATTTTAAAGTGTCCTGTTGAGCTGGTTTTGGTTGTCTTGTTAACTGTATTGTCTCACTTTCTACCATCCAGCAAACATTTGTGTGTTATTTTTAAATTTCACCAAGTCCTTGATTTCTTTTTCTCACAAGACCCAGCATAAGGAACCTTTCCACAGTTTGAGATGATTCCAGTAGTGGTCAGAAGATAAAGTGCTTTCAGTATATACATTTTTAGAGAAAATGCTGGTAAAGAAGCTCCCCGGTTGTCCAGCAGAGAAGAAATGTAATTTTACTTTGCAGCTCAGAAAGGCATTCTGAGTCATTCCAGCTACTGAGTCAAGCCTGTCTGGTCTTCAGCATGCATATCAACATGTAAATTAATCTGATGAGTCTCCTTGTTGATGAATGTCAAATTGATACTTACATATGTTCTTTGATTTCTTACTACTTCTGGCTATCACTAGGTTTCTCAGGGACCTTAGCAGCATGGTGGTCAAATTCTGCTCGAAAAGGTGGTTGGGATAATTCTGGGGGCAAGGTATCAAAGATTTCCTTGTTAGTGAGGCTTTGAACTGAAATGAAGAGGCAGTGCTGGCACTGAGTGTTTTGCTGCCTGGGGAGAACAGTCCTAAAATGTTGATGTGGATCGTTAGCTCTAAGAGTACCTGTCACTTGTGGAAAGGGCTGCTTAGGGCTTTCCATGTTGGGAAGATACTTAAAAGCTAGTAGTTAAAAAGACAAGTAATTTCCTTTAATTCTTATTTGAGATCTACTAGCTGCATTGTGTAATGACAGCTTGCTTTACAGTGTGGGGTATGTGCTGTCCTTCATCAGCTCGTGTATGTATCGTAAAGGGGAAGGATTAATGTGTGAACGCTACAGATGCTGCTGAGATTAAAAAACAGACAGACAACCCCATCTGTATACACTTGAATACATGTACTTCTAATATAATAATTTTTTGTACCTTAAAATCGTCATTAACATTGTTTTGGGGAAGGATGTGTTCTTTTTTTAAGCTTTTGAAAAGTATCCATGTGTATTTGCATCTGTGACTACATTTCCTTGCTGGTTCATTTTTGATTTACATATGGGTTTCTTTGGTTTGCTTTTACAAAAATTTAATAATCAGTTTGTGAGATAAATGAACTACTTGCTTGCTATAGCAAAGAAATTTCCTGTTCATAGTAATTTTGTAAGTAAGGACTTTGTAATTATCTTTTGAGGTTCCTGGGCCACTGATGGGTGAAAAATGTAATTCAATACAAGGAGAGTGTTCAGTAGATGTGAAGATTTAAAGGACTGACTGAGTGCAACAGTGTAAAAAAAACAAACAAACAAAAAACCCCACCCAAACCCCAACAAAAAACCCCAAGATAACAACAACAAAAAACTAAACTCCACAAACCCAGCAACAACAACAAAAAAAACCCCAAACCTCATAAAAACCCTGCGGTCTGTTTCTGCGCAAATTCAAGATTTTTTTACTTTCTATGTAAAACACTATTGCTGTCCTTCTGGATAGTGGCCACTTAGGCATTAGCTTTGGGAAGCAGAAAGTATTTGGAGTCTCTAAACTCACTTGGATGCAGCTTAAAAAGAAGGATGAAATTGCTTGGACATTATTCTGTTCCAGCATGAAAACAGTTTCAGCCTAGATGCCTTTTAGAAATGCTTTAGTGTAAAACAGTATCTTGAAACAGCAACAATCATTAGTGCGTTTTGATATTAGGTTGTAGCATGTGGTGGCATTTTGAGGAAGAAAATCTGTTTTTTACTGATTACGCATTTAAATGTGCTGATATAAAGCTGTCTCAACCGAGATAACGATGTGAGCATGGATACCTGTCATAGCTGTTTATGTGCCTTTTAAAGTTCAAGCACATCATTCTGAACTGATTCTTCACTACAGGAAGCATGCAGATTGTGTGAAATACGTAAGCTGAAGATGGAAGGCACTTGTGCTGGTAGTTTTCTAGAAGGATCTCTGATGTTTTGCTCCTAAAACAAGTTTAGCTTGGATTGATTTTTTTTTTTT